GTATATTGCTGTTGGTCCGGTTCATCTTCCCAGACTGCATCCTCTCTGGCTCGTTTGCCCCTTCCCAGGAGCTTTTGCTGCGTGGCGCGTGGGGCCTCTTCTTGTCGCACTTGATGCTCATCAGATCCGTCCAGGGTCCCGCAGATAGCAAGTCTGGGTGTTCCCAGCTGCTCTGAGCTCCGCATGGGCAGTGCCCCGGTAGGTCTGACTGCATCCTCGACTTGTGAGGGTCGTTCATCCGTTGACCCTAGCGCAGCCGTTCTATCCCATGTGTACTTTGAAACATGGGTACCGATCTGCGCTTCCATCTGCATCATGTTGGCGTCCTGGGTCACCACCGACCCTGACGGCATTTCATCATCAAGCGAATCTCCTTCTGCCACATCCTCACCACCCAACGACATGCTGCGCCCCGGCTGACAAAACCTGGAGAAGTGAAAGTCTCCTCCAACAATGATGTCATGACAGTGCATGTCCTGATCATGAGGAAAAGGAATGTCATACCATCTGTCCCATGCAACATACGGCTGCCAGCCTTGAAACGGTGCAAAGACAAGTTGCTCAGGTGTATCCACATGTTGCACGCCCTCACAATCAATGGCATGATGACTTGCGCCCCCACAAGTGATCATGTCCGCCCAAGGAACCCACACACTCAAACATTCTTGCAAAGGTGGTTGCGCCCCCAATTGTCCCTTTGCAGCACTGCCCAAGCCATCTGCATGCAATGACCCCACATCAAATTGCATCATCAGCTTGGAACTTTTCCCACAAACCAAAGCTTTCCTGTAGGGCATGCCATAGGGGTTACCCCAACGGCTGGCCCTCATCACTCTTCTTGCGGCGTTTCAACATGCTTTCTGCAAGCTGCCGCTGAAGATCTGACTTCTGGGTCTCTGTATAGAGGATCCCAACCTGAGCTAAGGCCTTCAAGACATGATCATTCATGTCATCATCCAAAGCTGTCTCACTGCTAGGCGCTTCCTTCGTCTCCTCTTTCAAGAGCTTGGCATAAGCTTCTGACTGCGCAGTGAGTTGTTGCTGTTCTTTGTCAATCATCTCTTGAACCGATTTCAATTCGTCCAAGAGAACCCGATATTGTTCTTTGGCGTGATCCACTCTTCTGCAGCCCTGTTTTCTTGTTCGACAATTGGGGTAACTCCCCAACGGTCACCTTCAGCATGGTGGTGACGTCTTTGGGCTCTTTCTTCTCAGGGGCCACAAGGTTAGTCACTGCATCCTTGACTTCCTTGGGGAGATCTTCAAGGTGTGCCTTCAGAAGCTCCTCCAATGGCTGCATCTCCTGTGGCGGTGTGTAGTCAACTCCAAGGGACTTTAGAGCTTCTTGTACTTCCTTGGTCAGACTGGTCCAGCCTTGCTTCAGGGCTTTGTCCACTCCTGTAGCTGGCCCACGCTGGCCAAGTCCCGGCGGCTTGTCGATCAGGACTTGTCGATCTCTGCTGGGCCGGTTCCTTCGTTTGGGTGACTTGGAGGTGCCATCAGTCCACGATCTCTGTGGCCATGGAGTGTGACATTTATCGCATTGCCACCTGGTTGCAGTCACTCTGTCACTCCAAATCCACGAACCTGCACAGCCCTTGCAGCATAGGTAGGCACGCTGCCTTCTCCTTCTGGGGTACGTCCACCCCTCCCATGTAGAGGCCGCCATCGTACTCATCAGGGACAAAGAACTCGTCAGTCTCTATCACGGGCAAAGGTGAGGTCACCCGCCAAGGACCCAGTCTTGTCGTCTCTCTCTTTCTTTCTGTCTCTGTCTCTGTCTCTCTCCTCTCCTCTCTCTCCTCTCTCCTCTCTCCTCTCTCCTCTCTCCTCTCTCCTCTC